GGGGGGGTTGAACCGCTATTTGTCTGATCCGTCGCCTAGGACCTGTTTGCCTTGGGAGACCCTACCAGGGGCGTTAAGCCCCCGACAACATAGCTCCTAGGTTCATTCGGATACTCAAACCCCTCCACCACGTTAAGGTTGCGATTCAAGGAGAGGCTATAAATAAAAATATAAAAAATAAAAAAAAAAATAATAAAAAAATTAAAAATCCCTAATAATACAAATTGTAAACTACTACTATAACTGCCTTCATTATTATTGTCATTATTATTATTATTATGCACACTGTTGGGGAAACCTATTGATTAGACTTATATTTCAAGCTGTATATTTGTTCTGTCAACAAATGTATTGGTTACACACATTTGTATTCTATTAACTACAGCTGTTTTGACTTAGATTTCCCAGTAGAGGGCGATGGTAAGCTATATCACGCCATAAAGAGTTGAGCAGTGGTGAGTTGCATCCATTACGCAATTTGCGCAAAAAGGAAGCTACTTTTAATTCAGCTTATTTCACCCGTGAACTGTTTACCGAATAGTTCAACAACAAAAAACCCAAAATGTATGCGCTATAACATAGCGCATACACGGCTAATAGTACAAATCCTGCCAGTATATAGTGGCTATATACTGGTGGGCCCACTCTAGTACACATTTGATATGACCTCACGAGCCAAATATAATAATGCACTGCGGGCCAGATTTAGCCCCCGGGCCTGAGTTTGACACGTGCGGCATACAACTGGCGAATGTAAACAAATGGAATGTAAACAAAGCCGCCATCCACGTATAGTGAAGTACTTTGAAATTTATGGGGGGGCAGTGGAGAAGTACATGGTAAACCGAGAACCCTAAGCTTTTACGCAGCTTTCGTATGTAAAGATGTGATTATTTTCTCACCTCAGACTGACCTTCAGTTCACCGAGAAGTCCCAGGAGTCTTTGTCCAGTGGCATTCATGTGACTGTGGCGTCCGACGACACCATGTTCATGGCGGTCACGCCGGAAACCGAAGCCCATGTCAGGTTGACGCCACAGATCCCTGCAGCGCCGGTCACGTCCTCCTTGACGGGAAACTCCAGGATGTGCAGTGGCCTGCGCTGCCCCTCTCTGCCAGAAAACCTTGACCTGACTTCAGGACTTGAAGGGGTCCAGAAACACCTATCAGACCCTGTGTTGCCTGTTATCTGAAAATCTAGTGAAGCATCGTAGCGACATCGTAACTAAAAGAGGACGTGTTACAGCGCAGCCCACAGACTGGTACCGTAAACGGACTCTAGGAATCACCTGTTACTTCTAGGATGAGCGATTGTGAACGAGTATTGACAAGTAAATGACCGCAACCCAAGTTTTGGGTACCACGTACCTTTAAGGGAATCTCTCCCAGTGGTTCCTGAACGCTCTCTCTATTTACGTACGTTTACGGTCTTTAGCTAACACCACGTATATCTGCAAGGATGAGGGGCCGCCGTTCAATGTGTCTGCCAGCACGTCGGTAAAAATAATATAACGTAATAATATAAATAATATGCATTGATACAAGCAAGCGTTCCATACGTGTGGCTAACATTTGTATACGGAAAGTGTTTTGAAAGAGTTTTATTTTTAAATGAATCAAAATAGTTATGGTTGGTAAAATATTAGCAAGGACCATGTAGCGCGCTTCAAATACCTTACCAAACATGTGACAACATAACAGTGGTTTTCCAGTGTTATAGTGTCTCTCATAGTGTGCTTTTTGGCAGTCTTAGCTTCAATGGCGCTAACGTTTTTTTTTTGTTTGTTTTTTTTGTTTTTTTAGCACGCTAGGCATAATGTAGCAGATGAACGCCGTACAATAAACTGCAGTGCCAGAAATAACATATAGTTTCTACAACATATTTGGGGGACTTACAACAGCGGCCACACCTGGGAACACGACTAGTGGATAATGTGGTATCCGAGCGAACAGAAAGAACAAAAAGTTGTATTTTTATTTCAATTTTTTAAATTTTATTTTATTTTAAAAATCTTCTAGCTAACTTGAATGCGCGAATGAGTAAACATCCCCGGTGAAAGACCTGAGTTAAAAATCTTCTAGCTAACTTGAATGCACGAATGAGTAAACGTCGCTGGGGGAAAGACCTGATGCAGAAAATACCACAAGTCTTAAAATAAATGTACACAATAAAAAAAAAAACAATAACTACATTAATATTTGTACTAATTAAATTATATAGAATGCACTTTATTTAGCTTTGTTGTACGCGTGACATCCCCTCACACACACACACTGACTGGTCCGAGGAAGCATTTTTTGCGATGGTGCAAAGAAGTTTCCGGACCACTGATCTTCATTATTTTGGTCATCAAATTTTTTTAAATTAATTAATTTTTTTTTTTTAATAACAGTGTGAAAATGGCTGTTCTGGCTCATTTACAGTAAGGTGATATACGGGATTTTTGTAACAAAAGTAAAAAGACTACTACTATCAATAGATCGCATGCGAAACAGAAAGAGAGTAAAAATAGGGTGAAGATAATATGACACTCTTAACAGAGGCAAATTTACAAACAGAAGGTTTGACAACACCGTCTTCATCTTCAACTAGCGCCGCGCTCACCACAATTCATAGCCTCTGGGTACAAAAAAAGTATCGACAATTTGTGACAAATTTACACATTTTATGTAATAAAAAAACAATTGCGAATGAACGATTATTTGTTTTGTTTTTATCTCTTACACTTACTGTAGGTCCGGTATATGTGATATATATATATATTTATGTATATGTGTATATGTATGTGTATATATATGTGATATATATGTATATATATGTATATATGTATGTATATATGTGACATATAGGTATTTATGTATATGTATATATATATATATGTATATATATATATGTATGTATGTATATATGTGATATATATGACCCATTTGCATTGGATTTGCATTTTTTCTTTTGCATCACTTACATCTGCTTTCCAGGCCTAAAAGAAAATGAACAGCAGCACCAACAAAAAACCGTGGTATGTACCCGCCCCCTTTTGGTGAAGCATAGGTACTGCCTGACTTATCCAATTTTAGTGTTGGTTCATGTCAGACCAGTAATACTATAATAATTGATTTGTATTCTTAGGATTGATTTTGTAAATGTGTACGGGAATAATATAAAGTTTTTTAATGTTACACTTGCAAATATATCGTTATTGTACTTTGAAAAGATAAATCCTACTGCTTACTCTGTCACGTGTGGAAAAAGATCCCCGCAGCGTAGAGTAGTTCAAAGGGTTAACTGTGACAGAAGCTACTCCAAATCCATACCCATCACCCTTCTCACCTCCCTCCCTCTCCCTCTCTCTCTGTCTCTCTCTCGCTCTCTCCCCTAGAGTACACACCGTCCACAGCATGACACCTCAACTATATTCATGGCTGTCCACTGAGCTTTAAGGAAATCCCTCCTTGGTGTTTGGGGAAGACTGGACAACTGGTCATGAATATAAAAAAATAAAAGAGGTGGGAAAACTGATGAAGCACCAAAGAAGAAGATCCAGAAGATTCCTCTTCAAGGGAACCAAGTGCTGTGAAAGACGCTGAAACGATGTGTTTGAGAGCGTGAGGACACTGGAACTCTGCAGATGAGACACGATGCCTACACGGAGACTGGGTTTCCTGGTGGTTCTCCTTTGCGCGACTACAGTAACTGCACTGGTAAGTGTTCTTCACACATTGATTTTGTTTGTTTTTTTTTGAGTCCTTTTTTTTAAAATTGAGTTTATTTATTCAGAATAAATTTAAATATAATCCAGGGTTAATCCAGGGTTAATTAGTGTCATTATTATCGCCTGTGTCTCTGTGATTCTCTGGTAATCAGTCTCACTCTCCTCACCTGGGTACATAGACCGATGGTTCCGTTCTTGGTTGTCTTTGCTCCACCTACTGTCTCCCCTTATTTTCCTTCCTGCACCTTGTTCCCTCATTTGCAGTTGGATTTTCTTGATGTATTTAATTTAATTATATATTTGTTATTTAATATAAATAAACTTATTGACTGCTACATACCAGAGTAGCCATAAAATCCCTGACCCTAGCTTTATTCGTTTGCTTTAATACCACTTTTAATGAACTATGTTATCACCTTGTGTTGTAGTTAATCATTCTCAACTTACTTTATTTACTTATTGATTTTTTTTTTTTTATTTCTGTAATTTTTCGAATAAGCATAATTCTGCATACTGTACAATTTAACATTTGGAATGTTTCAAAATCATACTACTACAGTATTAACAGTGTTAGACAATATGAACAGTGTTGAACTAAGACTATTAATACTGATTCCATGTATTATTATTATTATTATGAGTAGTAGTAGCAGTAGTAGTAGTATTTTTTAATACTAATTTTAAAACAAATTGAATTTTTTTAACCATAAGAGCGTCATATTGGGTTAATACAAGTATTTGAATACAAGTATTTTATGAATAGCAGAGTTTTCTAAAAAAAAAAAAAAAAAACTTTTTTAACAGCAAAAAAACCCTTTTTTTTGTGTTTAAAAATAATTTAAGTTCGTATTAAGAAGATTATTTTTTGCAATTGGGGAAATGTATCGTGTTGACAGCAGCAAAATCAACACTGTAAAACAACAATGTACTGCTGTTGTTGCACACCTGAAAGCAGCACAATTCATATAGCAGGATTTGGTTATTAGTACCATAGAAGTACATTGATTTTGTACCATAGAAACGCCTCTTATTCTACAGAGTTCTACAGAGTAAAGTGAATTAAATAACATTATCAGTGATGGTATTTTCAGCATTGATTTTGTGCATTTTATTCATTCTTTCGCTCATCTGGAAAAAAAATGTAATTTCTCAGCGGTGACTCGTGGGCATGTGTCCAAATGCACAAAAAGAATCCATCCTCAAATCCGAGCGCTCAGACAGAGTCGCCGTGATGTGAAATATTCTATGTTTGACCTAGGGAGCAGCAACAGAGAAGTGTCAGTTCTTACCTGACTTTTCCTTCTATTTTTGACAAAAGAAATGTTAATACTTTAAAAAGGGCCTCGACATATGATACACAGAGGGGGTGTCCTCGGTTTACGACGTCCTCAACCTACGGCATTTCACTGTTACGTTGCCTCAACCCTACTTATAAATTTAGACGGCTCTGTTTACATTCACCAGTGGTATGTGAAAAAACATTTTTTTGAACCCTTCATTATGGCTCATAAGCATGATTTTGAGCAACCTCTGCTGCGGACAAGCATAAAGTGAAGGGAGTTAGCCCTTAGCTAGCTAATGTTAGCTTCGGACCTGGAGCAGATCACTAAGTCTCCCCTGTGCATTCAAACTACGGTCGGGGCTCCGAAGCAGGGAAGAGCTAACATGTAGCAAGCCATGTTAGACGCACAATTCGGAAAAAACATTTATTTAATTAAAAGTGGAAAAAAAATCTCTCCCATGTTACAACGTGGACACCTGCGACTTATAGAGAAGTGCAGTCTACATATGTTCAATATATTTTTCTTTTTAAATTTAGTGGCTGCGGCTTATATTGGGGTGCGCTCAATAGTCCAGAAATTACGGTAATTATGTAATATTGGTAGGAATTGTAATTGATTTTTACTTTGATAATGAAAACCTGACAACGCAATGCTTGGGTTTCACCAGATATATATATATATGTGATATGACCTAAAAATTGTTTTGGAAAAACAGCTGCATGTATCGATATCGGATGTATATTGAAATCAGAAGTTTGGACAATAGTGGCATATCAGATATCGGTGAAATGTCGGCTAATATCAGACATCCCTAGTAATAAGTACTTGTATATAATTTCCGACTTATGGCGAAAATTCAGGTGACGTCGCCGCCAGAAACAGAACCTTGTCGTAAGTCGAAGACCCACTGTATGAGAAAAATTAGCTATCTGTGACACCCTGGGGAGTTAGTCTATTCGGTCAATGCACTCAAACACACCAATTAAAGAGACAAACACAATAATGCTGGAGCTGATCTGATGTTTTCTCCATAGCTAAGTAAATTGTTTTAGTCTACTTTCAGGTACTTATATTAAAACCACACAAAGCGGACATGCAACTGTCCTCCTTCGCTGTCCACTTCTCCCATTCATCTCCTCGGGGGTCGATGATAGGTGTCCAGGTCAGGCAGACTTACGACCTCCTGCTCAGCCAGCCGGAAAATCACTTCAGACAAAGCTGATGCTTCAGAGAGTAAATCTGATTACAACATAAAGGAGAGGCCGTTTGGGAGGATAACTTGGATCGTGCTGACACTCACAAAGGCCGCTGTTTGTAGAGCCGTAAACCTTTTTGTATTGATTGATGTTGTTTGTCGCGTTCAAGCTTCAAACGAACCTGTAGGTGGAGCTGATTACAT